TCATACAATTCAATCGAAATAAAAGCAATTTGAATCAGTGCACTTTTGTCAATGTAACACAAATACTGGCCTTTTGGGTATGCAGCCAAGAATACCACACGAACTGTGGTAAACATATTGAATGCTAAACAACAATGGCGCTCCAACCGACGAAGGAGGACATTTATATCATAACAAAGAATCCTGTAAATACGAATGACGTGCAAAGAAAGAAGAATGAAGAAAAGAGAAATGAAACTTTCTATGTTTTTTGAAAGCTTCTATTTAACTTTACTTGTATGTATGTTAACAAATCTTGCAAGTTAAATTTTTGACTCAATTCCCGGCTGAAATTTTGCATGCTGGTCCAGAACCTAAGACAATGCATGTTAATCATAAACGGCTCCGTACGAGAGATCTCCACAGATCTCTCAGCAGGGACACAAAATTTTGTATACGTATTCGTTTATGATAGGGAGTTGGTAGGCTCACCATGAAATATTTCATAGATGTAGATGCCACATCCAAGGTTGGCTTCAATAAAAAAAAAATTATTTCTATATAGCTTTTACCTTTAAATACCTACTTCCCGACTCTAAAAATGAGACAATAAATGGTGTAGTAGTTTGTAAGAACCCATATTTATTCGAATTGTAATAAAATAATCGCACAAGATAGTCTTACAGATTGTACTAGAAAAAATGATAATATAGATTTGAATAATATTATACCATCTGATATAAACAAGACTGAGGGGATGCCTAAAGAGTTGGAAATATTTGTGGGGGCCAAGGTGATGTTGCGATACAATATTGATGTGTCTAAGGGTCTAGTGAATGGTGTCATCGGTCATATAATAGAAATTATATGGCCCTGTTTCCGGAGAGCACAAATGTATGACACGGACATTCCATCAGTCCGTATCGATGTGTGCACTCGTCAGTCTATTAACCTACAGTGTAGGTAAGCCGAGACTGGTTTTACTTGATTTGGTTTGTATTTGTACTATTGATGTAAAGAACATCTCAAAGCAGTTAGCATCATACATGGACCGGTGTTCAACAGACAATAGAGTGCATGTCCGGCTATCCCATAACCGGACGACCTCTCATCTACTAACCATCTCCACAGGAACTAATGCCCTCTCCGCCGCGTCATTGAAATCGCCGCCACCCACTTGCACTGCCATGAATTCGCGGCGTCAGCGGTCAGTTTAGGAACGCTGCACTTGACAGATACGAAGTGGCGGTCCGTAAACCGACCGACGCGACGGTCAGTCATGCACGGGGGGCCAAGAGGTGGCAACTAGCCTCCCGCCGCCTCCCTGTTGCCACCCCCGTGCGTGTCTTATGAATAGTTACCGCCGCCGTATTCTTATCGACGACAGGCGACGGCCCCACGTTATACGTGCCGACATGCTGTTGCTTGTTCTTACCTGCTGCTCGATAAGGTTTTCGTTTTCTAAATCGGGACTTTGCGAAACGCACGCCAATACAGGGCGAATTCGAAAACGTAAGTTGAACCGGAACACAAGATGAAATTTGATTATTGTGAAAGGCCTAAATCATAACATCAAACTGGATATTAATTCTGCAAAAATAGAATGATAGGCTCTACTCAAACTGCAGTTTGAGTAGAGCCTAGATGATGATAGCACGACCAGCTGACGAAAGCGCTCGCATATAATTAAATAGAAGTTATAAAGCTTCAAATCCTTTGTGTGGCTTACATTAATTTTGAAATTAGTAATAATAATAATAGCCTTTGTTACCCAACAGTTAAAAACCATTCACAGGGTTAACTAAGTATGTTAAAGAAAGTAATATAGATCCTTATAATTACAAACTTACAATTTGAGAAAATGGATAACAAAATTATAATATAATGAAATAAAAAAAACTATACCATAAAATTAAATATTCTTCATGAAATACTGAGATGCAGTGTCAACAATATATTCTAGAATCAAAATTGATATCACACAAATTTGAAATTGAATTGAAATTATTGCAAATGCTATAGTGTACTTGCTATATGTACTTCTAGTTCCTACTATAAGACACTACTTTACATTTGGATGCATTGAGATATAGTTTGTTTACTTCACACCAAGGCTGTATATTTTCTAAGTGTCGTTGCAATGTATTACAGTCTTCGATAGTTTCGACAGGTAAATATATTTTCAAATCATCTGCAAAAAATAACTAATTACAACCGACATAATTACTGAGGTCATTAATAAATAATAAGTACAGAAGTGGTCCGAGATTCGACCCTTGAGGTACTCCAGATGAAGGATTGTAATGAAAAGAATCATAGCCGTTATAAGATACAAACTGTTCACGTCGAAGTAAGTGGGATTTAATAAAAAGTACTGCTGAATTAGGGAAACCAAATTGGTGGAGTTTTTGTAGAAGGATCATGTAATCAAGTCGATCAAATGCTTTAGCAAAATCAGTATATATCACATCAACTAGACCACGATTATCTAAGACATTATTACAGTTCGTTGGCCCTCAGACACTTCCCTAGAAGGTGGAAGCATGCGATCGTCGTCATGCTCCCAAAACAGGGTCAGAACCAGCTGTTCCCGCAGAACTATCGCCCGATCAGTCTACTCTTGTCGGCGGCTAAGCTGGCTGAAAGAGTTGTACTGCAAAAACTCAACGAAGAAGTTGAGGACCGAAATGTTCTGCCTAACGAACAATTTGGCTTCAGGAGAGATCACTCCACTGAGTTACAGGCTCTAAGTTTGGTCGAAAACACCATCAGCGAGCTAAACACTAACAAAAAAGTGCATATTGTGCTGTTAGACATTTCGAAGGCCTTCGACCGAGTATGGCACGAAGGTCTTCTGCACAAGCTAAACGCGTTCGACCTGCCTCGGGGCCTGATCCGGTGGATCGGGTCTTTCCTGAAAGACAGAACTTTTCAGGTCAGAGTAGAGGGCTCTCTGTATTCACTCTATACCAGCGACCTGCCTAGGTCCGAACGAGTGAAGATATCCCTGTACGCCGATGACACGGCTCTTCTCTCATCTTCCATGGGTCGAGAGCTCGGCGTCGTCTACATGCAACGTGCATTGGACGACCTCGAGCGCTGGTACCTCGATTGGAAGATCCGAGTAAACCCGGAAAAGACTCAGGCGATAACCATGGGAAGATTACTATCTTCTCCGGCCAGAAAAGTGAGAATCTCTGGAAGGTTGATTGACTGGCAAGCGCGGGTAAAGTACCTCGGCCTTTTGATAGACCGTAGGCTCACTTGGAACCCACACATTACGTACGTCAAATCTAAGATCGAGGGTCGGATAGCCAGTCTGTACTCTCTGATCAATAGAAAATCAAAGATGAGTTTGAAAAACAAAATCACGATCTATAACACGATGTTCAAGCCTGTCATCATGTACGCTTCAGGCGTCTGGGGACAAGCGGCTCCGTCCAACATTTCCATTTTGGAAAGGTTGCAAAATAAGATAATTAGGATGCTTGTGAATGCTCCTTGGTTCGTGCGGAATGAAGCCATCCGCAGAGATTTGCAGCTGCCTTCCATTCGGCAGTCCATTCAGTCGAGAAATGAGAGAGTTTTCGAAAAAACGGAAACTCATGAAAACCCGTTAGTTAGGGAAGCCACAGATTATGCTGTAGACGACCCCTCCCGATATAGAAGGCCCCGACACTCTGTCAAATGAGGCCCTCATGTCCCCCGTTAACGGATGAATAACTTTTTCATCCATTCCTCCCCAGCCAAGTAGGGGTATCCCGTGAAGGGCGGCACTGATGTCTAAGGACTTCATGCCGTCACCAATTCAGTCATGAACCCATTGGTCCCTCTCAAGACCAACAATCAGCCAAAAGGGTAGGGGAGCTGGTCTCCAAACCTGGATGAAATGGCGATGACATTCTGGTCTACGACATTATTAACATTTTGGGTCAATACTAATTAAATTTGTTATGGTGGATCTGTTTGACATAAATCCATGTTGTTGCGGAGATATAATATTACGAACTGAGGAATGTACGCGATTGCAGATGACAATTTCGAGAAGTTTTGCAATAGGATTAAGACAAACTGAATTATGGACCTGATGGCTTTCCCGAGTATTTCTTCAAAAAATGTATCTGTACCTTAGCATATACCATATTTCTTATTTTCAAGTGCTCATTAGATTCTAGTTCATTTCCTGACCTGTGGAAACATAGCTTTATCCGGCCTATTTTTAAATCTGGTGATAAACAAAATGTGGAAAATTATCGAAGTATCTGTAGTCCGTCTTCACTTGAAAACATTTTTGATGCATTAGTTAGTGATAAGTTAAAATTTTATTGCAAGGAACGTTTAATAAATAATCAACACAGACTCTCACAATATAAATCTACTATTACCAACTTGATGATTTTTGAACACAAAATATTGGATGTTTTGGAAAGTAAAGGGCATACGCTTTTTATCGAGTAGACCACAATATCTGATTGAAAAAATTAACTGGTTTATTTTGGGCAAAAACCCAAGAGACATTTTTTGTTTAGAATAAAACAGGCTATCGGAAATATACTTTCAAATGGTAAACAAATAATAAGACAAAAAGTTACATTGGAAATAAATTTTAGGGGTTGCGTTTTCCACCCCTTTCAACCATGGGGTAAACCAAATAAATTTCTGGACAAATGTTTTTTTGGTAGTACAAAACGTCAGGTTAATTTCAATATTGTAACTTATTTAGTGCTTGTGAAAAAAATTGTTATACAAATTTTATGTACCTCCTTTAAGGGCCTGTATCTGAACAAGGGATGCTCCAATGAAATTTCTTTATATGAGAGTTCCTATCTTTTTTTCGATAAGGAAGCACCTCCTTAAATGTTTTACACTTATTTAGTTACACCCTATATATTTGGCGCCCAACGTGGGGCTGTGAGCAATAGTATTGATTCAATAATGTTCAACCTAAGCTGACATAAAAGAGGACGAGTAAGTTATATCGTTTCGAATATTCAAATAATCAGATCACTTGAAAGACTTACCTTCCGTATATCATCTAAATTGTGTATCTCAGGGGAAAGTCCGCCATGGACGCAAAGGAACTGTTGGTTCATCAGCGCCGCTAGTGGCAGACAGTCGAACGCATCCATGCACGCGTCATACACACGTTCTGAATATTTTATTTTACCTGAAAATATAAAAAAAAACTACCTCAAATGGTTGAAAATCAAAACAACACTGTGGGAAACAATTTCAGATAGTATCCAAGGAAGTGTTCTGTTCTGTATCGGACTCTTCATCTTCATGGACCAAGCATACAGTTCCGATATTTATTAATAATATTATTCAATAAATTTAAGGCGGCATAGACGTTCAAACATATCAATTTCAGAACATAGGAAGAAACAAATAAATGTAACAATCGATTAACCAAATTAAAAGTCAGTTTTTACGATTCCAGTGATTGCTCAGAGCATTTTTCAAATTATCAATTAATGGAGCACAAACTATATGCTCACGTAGGCCGTTCCAGTGGAAGAAAACATGATTGCACAGAAAATATCGGCGACACAGTTTTAAGAATTTTTTTCGTCCTATGGAGGATTTTGAATGTTTCAATAAGATCGGATAGAGAAGTAATATATGGTAGGTCACGGATTTATGTGGATAACTTGGTGATACGCTTTTAGGTTTTCTCAAGCGCATATGTCTTTGTCAAAGTGATGATTCCAAACTGACACAGCATACTCGAGGATTGGTCTGAGGTATATTTCCTTAATTTTGGTTCAGGAGGCATATTTTCAAAAGAAAAGGTTGTCTTTTGATTAGTAGTTTTTCCAATGTTTCCCACTTGTGAACTAGCATTACTGTAGACGGCGTCGATGGAGGCAAATGATGGCTGTGGAAAGAATTTCGATGACACATTGTTTCTTTTGATAGATTGAGTATTCACCAGTTATGTAAGGTTTTCGTGGTAGCGGTAGGAATTATTATTCATTTATTAATCTTTATTCCTCGATAGAATACAATTAGTTAAATGTAGTGCATTAGTCGTTGCTCTTTGGAATATTATTGAAACATTAGGGTGTTACAGTGGAAGTTCAGCGTATTATCTATAATGAAGTTCACACATTTTAGACCATGGCTAATTATAACAGCAAATTATATTTGGTGCTTTACGAGTTTCAGTGGAACATCCTTAATAAAATACTGCTATTCAGGTTTATTTGAACCAAGAAGGAGAATATTTCAATTTTGCTCATTTAGATCCAGGAGCCACTTTTCTACTTGCTGAAGATCATCGGCCATAGCATTTCTATTCAGGTTTGTGTTTGCATACAAATTTTGTATTATCGACAAAGAGAGAGACGTTGGTTTGAAATTCACTTACGAGATCGTTGACAACTACGTAGACTGTTCAAAAAATAAACTGAATGTTCACATTTCGCGGATTACGCGAAAAAATGTTCTGTTCTGTTCTGAAAATAATGAAAAAACACGTCGATTTGTGATCCAAGGGAGACATCTTCCAATCATTACCTCAACTGTCATACCTCTTCCCCCACCTCTCAGTGGCTATCAACCAAATAATTTGAATGGGGAAAGAAGGTAATTTTATAAGGAATTCAGCCATATCAATTTTAGCTACCTAACTTTCGATTTTGGCGCCCTCTTGCAGGAAAAAAAACTGTTCCGTATTCCAAATTATGAAACTTCATTCACAAGCTAATTGGACATAAATTCGGTGACAATGCATTATGGACTTTTTCTAGGGGAAAAACAAGATGGTGCCTTCACCATGGCGGACAAGATTTGCAATTGTGGTCCGAATTGATTCAAAATTGATAAGTAGTGGTTTTCAGGGTCGGAAATTATGAATTGTTTTTCAATGCAAAAAATCAAGATGGTGGCTCCAAAATGGCGCACGAAATTTGTAATTAAGGCTCGATTTAACCCGACACCGAAAACGAATTCTTCAAAACACATATGTTGTGAACATAATGCAAAAACACGTCAATTTTAAATCCCAGGGGGACAAATCCTATCGTTACCACAACTGTCATACTTCTCTCCCCACCCCTTGGTCACTCATACAATTTGATTAGGGAAAGTACTACGTGTGACACATCACTGAAAAGGTAATTCCATGAGGAATTCAGACATGTGAGTATTCGCTACTTAACTTTTCATTTTGGCGCTCTATTGCAGAAAAAACAACTGTTTCGTTTTTCAATTCACATTTTATTTGAAAGTAATGTGAACAATTCACGAAAAAAGAACAATTCATAATTTCCGACCCTGAAAACCACCACTTATCAATTTTGAATCAAATCGGACCATAATTGCAAATCTTGTCCACCATTGTGAAGTCGCCATCTTGTTTTTCCCCTTGAAAAACTCCATAATGCATTGTCACCGAATTTATGCCAAATTAGCTTGCGAATGAGGTATCATAATTTGGAATACAGAACAGTTTTTTCCCGCAAGAGGGCGCCAAAATAGAAAGTTAGGTAGTTAAAATTGACATGGCTGAATTCCTTATGAAATTACCTTTTTAACGATTTGTCACACCTACTACTTTCCCTGTTCAAATTGTTTGGGTGATAGTCACCGAGGGATGGGGGAAGATGTATAACAGTTGAGGTTATGATGGAAAGATGTCCCTCTTGGATTAAAAATCGACGTGTTTTTGCATTTTTTACAGAACACATGTGTTTTGAAGATATTCGATCTGTTTCGTTTTCGGTGCCCCACCTTGTATATTTTGGATGGCGTTGCTTCCTACTCGGGCGTATTTGGCCAGGCTCCTCTTATCAAGGTTGACAGGAGCTTCGTCGGGGGGCGCAGCGGTCTTGCACGAAGCAACGCTGCCACCCATTTTTTGTCGAACTTTTTTTCATAAGAACAATTTAATTTTTTATTACGTCGCCTCCTGATCGGGAGACTTTTTGGTTTTGTTTTCACATATACAGCCTCCTTTACGTGGTTATCCGAACCACCCCAGCCTGGTTACCGGCGTGGATAAAGGGGCCCCCTATATTCTTCATATTCTTCACTTTTGAAAATACTCTCACCCATTTTAATTGTTAACACAATGGACTAACACACAACACAAAACGGAGCTGGATGGCGATTTTTTGCTATAAAAAAATTAATAATTTGTAACACTTGAAATGTTGACAATGGCCTACGGTGGTTGTACTCTTGAGTCAGAAAAATGGTAAAAGTGGTACAGGATTTTCAAAAAAGGCCGGGAAAATGTGACGACACTCGCCCTAGACGCCACAGCACATCAACATCGATGGAAATGGAGAATTCGAATCACTATTAGAGAGGTTACCCAGCAAATAATCATGAACGCCATGTCTCACGACGTTTTTTATTCAAAAAATTGTCACAACTTCACCGTGATGATGCAGTTAGTCACCACCCCGTTTCCAGCCTCTCCTCTAGTTTCGCAAGCCTTTTGACGGATGAATTTCCCAGCTTCATCATCCATAACCACCACAAAACATTATCCTGCCGTACGATAACGCCGGTTTTACGCAGTCCGAACCGAAAACTCGGCGAAAATCATAAAAAACCGCCGCGCTGGTCATAAATCAACGTTGACGAGCAAAAGGATACGCGTACATCAATCCAAATAAACCGACCGACGAAGGCGACAATAAAAGCGACAGGAAAAGGGTGATCTACATCCGGGAAGGATGGGACGAATAAAGTAATTTCTATGGGGGTGTCGAATACAAATACCCCATATTGAAAGGGTTGCTTTTGACGTGCTACATATCGTCACCTGAGTATGTGATGGAAAAAACCCGAAGATGTGAAGTAGCTGCCATAAAAACTTCCCGGTTTGAATGCCACCACTCTCAAAGGAAATGGAAGACACTTGGAAAGAGGTGAAAGAGATTACATTAAAAATGATACGTTCGCTGTCTTGGGGTATAGTTATGAGATTGTTAAACATGGTTGCCTTTTTTTCAAACACTTTCCACGGAGCAGAACAAAAATAATCTCTCGAATCGCGCGTTTTGCTAACCAATTCAGCATCTACAGGAGTTCACTAGAACTGAATCCTACGACTTATCTATATATACCGGGTGTCCCACATTTTATGTGACAGGCAATATCTGGTTTGTTGAAGGAGATACACAAAAATGTTTCATACAAAAGTTTTAGGAGTTCATGAGAGCTATATTTTGATATAATTTTTAAATATACAGGGTGTTTGGTGTAGGTGCTACAGACCAAAATTCCATTTTTTAAAATAGAACGCCCTGTATATCATTACATATTCAGATGCTACGTTAAAT